TGTGACCCACGTCACGGGAAGTACATGGCCTGCTGCCTGTTGTACCGCGGCGATGTTGTGCCTAAAGATGTCAATGCTGCCATTGCCACCATTAAGACCAAGCGCAGCATCCAGTTTGTGGACTGGTGTCCAACTGGTTTCAAGGTTGGCATCAACTACCAGCCTCCCACTGTTGTCCCCGGTGGTGATTTGGCGAAGGTGCAGCGAGCCGTGTGCATGCTGAGCAACACCACTGCCATCGCCGAGGCTTGGGCCAGGCTTGATCATAAGTTCGATCTGATGTACGCCAAGCGTGCCTTTGTGCACTGGTACGTAGGTGAAGGAATGGAGGAGGGCGAGTTCTCTGAGGCTAGAGAAGACATGGCAGCTCTGGAGAAAGATTATGAGGAGGTGGGTGTAGATTCAGTCGAGGGAGAAGGAGAAGAGGAAGGTGAGGAGTATTAGATTTCCTTTATTTCATGCCTTCCTTAGAATCAAAATGAGCAGGTAGCCTAGACTGAACAATTTCTCAAGCTTAAGAAAGTGACATAATGGTATTGGTGTTAGTTTCAATCTATGTAATTCCCTGGTAAACATTACAAAAGCTAATTGTGGATATTTTGTTCAGTGTACGTTTCTCGACTCAATAAAAACCTTAAAATAATCATGTTCCGTTTCTGTTTACATTCATTTGATCTTGATCACTTACACATGTAATTAATAAAATGAATGCAAATGTCTCTCTTTCCAAATCAAATAATGCAATTTTTGTTTGTCATTTTACAAGCATAATTGTCTTCAAAGGTGTGTGAAGTCTTCTAAAACCTTACTATTATTAGTAAAGAAATTAAACGAAAAATGCTTGTTTTTACTACTTAAGGTGTTTAAAGTACACCTTTAGAACAGGGTTTTGTTCCTTTCACATTTTGAACCAATTATTAAAGGTACTGTGCATGGTATTTATTTTGTTTTTGATATCACATTCTGTTAAATTTGAAATTAAACACAATATAAGAATATTATAGACATCCCCCTCCTTCATATAATCCATATTCACTAGTTCACAAATAATCAGAGTAAAGAGTATATTCCCCAAATCCCTGGCTGGGACAGGAACCAGTTTGAGAGAGAGGAGTCGGGGTGGCGGAGGGATGCAGTAAAACTGTTGAGGAACAGGGGAGTCGGCTATGTATATATTGGCCTTCTCTCGTGTTGATTGAATATAGATCATTTGAAGGTGTTCCATCCAAATTTTGTTAATAAACCATTTTTTTTTAATTTGTTGCTGACTTGAGGACACTATACTGTCAAAGAGCACAGTCCTTCGGATGAGACGTTAAATCGAAGTCCTGACTCTCTGTGGTCATTAAAAATCCCAGGATGTCTTTTGAAAGAGTTGTGGTGTAACCTGGCCAAATTTGCCCCTTGGCCTCTGTCCATGATGGCCTCCTAATCATTCCCATATAGTGTTTCTGGACCAGTGTTGTTTACAGCTTGCAAAATGGTCTATACTGATTGGCTTGATCACTGTCTCCTCTCCACCAATAAGCTGGTGTGTGGTGGGCTTTCTGGCACAATATGGCTGCCGTCGCATCGTTTAGGTGGAGCTACACATTGGTGGTGGTTGAGGAGATTCCCCCCTTCCACATGTGAAGCGCTTTGAGGTCCCAGAAAAAGTACTATATAAATGAAACGAATTATTATTATTACTGTCTTTTCCACGTGGCAAAGTAATTTAGTTCCAATTACCAACAACCTCGAATTTAGGTTAGAATGCCAATTGGTTATTGGTCATTTATATAATAGCTTTAGCAGCACATTTGATTATTCTTATTATTCTCTATAACTCTTTACCTATATTTTATCCGTTCATAGAATGTTGAGTGTCTTGCCCACACTCCGCATCAAGGGCTAATTTGAGCTACAAATCGCTCTGAGCCTATTGTTGCATTTCTTTACATATACCAAGACAGAACCTTCTTTCACATGGAAATATTTGCTAACAATGGGAATGTGCATTCAGAGTTACACCTTTTGAGTTCCGATGCCATTTGCCTGGAAGACACACCCTCCTAAGCAAGTTATCTTTAAACTCTTAAAAACGTAATTACCATTTGGTTTACTTCTTTGGGGATGAGACCTTTGAACCAGTTGCACTGAGACATTTCAAATGATACCAAACATATATAATACTGTATGATAATTATTCATATAAAATATTAAATCACACTATGCAAGAATTGTACCTTAATATAACCGCTTCAAAGTCATTTCAGCGGTAAACAAACTCATAGTAGGGCGAATCATCCTGGTAGTAAAGCTTGGAGGGGACGCCGCTGGAAAAACCAGCAATGCAAGTTTGAGAGGAGCGACAAATCTCGCAAGAATCACGACATGTTTTATGGTAAGGACGTCACACACATTAACCACAACATGAAACACAATGACACTTGCGCGCATTTCAGACGTGCCACTCGACGATGGAAGAATCAAAGAAAACGCGGTTGGAAGAGACTAGGAAAATGAAAAGAGAATTAGCCTCTCTGCTCAACCCGTAAATAAATTAATCGATCCGCAAGTTTTGTTTGAGTTCTTTAATGGTCTAGTGATAGATCTTTTGCAAAGTGTGTCAGAGCTTACAGGTTCTAAGTTTTTTCTCTCTCATCAAAACTGAATATGTTCATCAGTGTTTACGATCTATATCAAGCAGGGACACGTTTTTGTGCATTTTATTTTGTGATTTCACCGGAATGAATAGAGAGTCTCCGCAACTTCGATAGATTGAAGAGTGCGTCTGAGTGAAGACTGCGCGCGCCGCCACAAGAGACACACGTCTCCATGACACTGATAGCAGTGGACATGAGCACTTAGCTTGAGTTCAAAAACACGTCTCTTATTTAAAGACCCCCTCTGATGTAAAAAAAATTCTAGATGTTAACATGTTCTTGTGTCATTTTTCGTATCTTGGACGTATCTTGAGAAAAATAAGCTCAAAGTTGCATTTCTGAGTATTTCTACATTCAAACGGCTGTGAATCAGTAGTAGCAAACGCTAAAATGCCGGCTAAAATAGACTGGAGTTGTGACGTAGTAACTCGCGTGAGCGTGCCACTAGATGTAACCATAGAGATATCTATGGATGTAACGCAGTTGTCCACGTCTGTCGCCATGGTTACTAAGGGTTAACGCAGAGATTACATCATTGACAGGTGACAAGTGAACAGGGATGGGCACTATTTAAAATTGTGAATTTCTCAGGAATTTAGGATAATGGAAGTACACAATTGAAAGAAATATACGACACTGTTCAAGTTACTGGAATGCTGCTGTTAAATGCTCTGGCGAGGAGATAAACATGGCGGAATGTGTTCAGCTCACTGTGGGTGGGCCTATGCTAATGAGACAAGTGCGTCAGCAGTCGTGGGCGGGGCTTAAGCATTTGTGACTCACATATTCTAGAATCTGCATATGGCTTGTTCTGAGACACTGCTCATGATTTATGGGGATTAAAAATGGATTTTTACCATTAGGGTGGTTGTGTACACACATTTATGTTCAAACATGATGTAAAAGTGAATTTAGCATGTCCCTTTTAAAAATGTTGAAGTATCCCACAGATTTTACTGAGAAACTGATATTAAATGTGTCAAGGCAGGGGGTTACACTAACTTGAAGAGACATTAAAAGAGAGATTTTTAGACATTCTTGGCAAGGTGTCACACTAATTGCCATAAAATTCGTGTTAATTGTGCTACGTATACACATATGATAGAAAATATGTGATTTGATATGCTCGCCTTTATGTGAAGTCTACTGTATTTCAGTCATGATGCCTTTATTGACCGAGCAAAGGGGAAAGAATGGAAGCTGAATTATTAATGTGGGCACAGAGTGAGCATATCCGTTATGTTTATGTGGTACAGTGGGCAAAATAATCATTTAAATAGTTCTACATGTCCTGCAGAATGACTCGACACATTTGCTGAAAAGCAAAGGAATACAATTAACTCACCTTAAACGCTTGATTTACATTGCTCTATAGTTTGGTTGTCAGACAACATGTTGAATCCTCATATTTTATGTCAATTTCTTTTCAATAAATTAGAATAAATTAATGTTTTTCACTGTGGCAGTGTCCCCCAAAGTAACATCTTTTTTGTCTATGTAATTATTTATTCAATTTGTGTATGTAATACTTAATATCTGAAATGTGCACGGTGCACATTTCAGATATGAAGTATTACATACACAAATTGAATAGACATACACAAATTGCACAGTGCACCTTTATAATTATGTATATACATTTGGGAAAATGTCTTGTGTAACTGTTTTGTGTATCTTGTATGAAACAAATCCAAGTGACTCTCATTAGATACTGTAAATATGTATAGAGGGGTAGGCATAATAAGCAAAGGCTTCAGCCTACACATTTATGAGTTATTATGTGTATTTTGTTTATTAAAATTGTCTGTGAGGGACTAAAAAAATGTTTTTTGTTGAATTGAAAAATTTAAACACATTGACAGATTCATTGAATCATATAAAATGTCTGCACCCTGAATTGAAAGCTCCACAAAATGATGATGCATTTGAGCAGTCAGTGTGTTTGGTTGTAAAAATGATCTTGGAGATTAATCATGTGTGTTTATTGCTCCTACAGCTGAGCCCAATTTGGACCCAGTCTAGTCCAAGGGTATAAGTCTGGCCTGGAAATTTCTTACATTATCATACCATTTTTAATGCAAGAAAAAAAAGAAAAAAAAAGAAATGCATTCATCGTTTTGCTTTTGACTTACACTGAAAAATGCCTCTTTCAGTTCTGTTAACATTATAAATGCAATGATTTCACATTTCAAGTGAAAACCGTCCGAGAAGTGCCTAGGTTGTGCCTGTGAGGGAGTGTCTGACCATATGGATGAATGATAGAGGATGAGATCAGGGGCTCAGGAGACTGGGAAAGGGCTGGGCTGGGTGGAGCTCAGATGAACTGACCAGCTTCATGTATAAAAGCCCCTCAGTCTCGCATCCTGCCGTGACTCAGCTTCGATCACAACAGGCACACGGACCAGAAGAAGAGAGGAAGATACACTAGTTTATCATTCTAAAGTACAAGGATTATAGGCAAAATCATGAGTCACTCCTCATATCATCGCACCTCTTATCAGCGCACTTTTGGGCCGCCTGCCTATAGCCCAGTGTCCAGTCGCGTAGGAGGCCGCTACATCTCCTCCTCCACACCCGCCCGCTCTGTGGACTTCAGGAGCCGCTCCAGCGCTCCGGGCCCCCGGCTCTCGTATGATAAAGTGGACTTCTCTCTGGCAGAGGCCGTCAACCAGGAGTTCCTGACCACGCGCAGCAACGAGAAACGAGAACTGCAGGAACTCAACGACCGCTTCGCCAGCTTCATCGAGAAGGTGCGCTATCTGGAGCAGCAGAACTCGAAGCTGACTCTGGAGTTGGGTCAGTTTAAGGAGCAGCAGCAGGGGCCGTCGGGACGGGTCAACGAGCTGTGCCAGCAGGAGATGAGGGAGATGCGCAGACAGATGGAGCTCATGGGCAACGATCGAGACCAGATGCAGGTGGAGAGGGACAACCTGGCCGAAGATGTGGCCCTGCTCAAGCAGAGGTGTGTGTGTGAGAGCTGGTGGGGTGTGTATGCATGACAGTGACTAGTGTAAGTGGATTGTTCACGCAAAAAATTACATTTTTTAAGCTTTGTCTCACCCTCGTGTCATTCCAAAACTTGGAATACAAAAGAAGTTAATGTTATTGTATGTTTGTTTTGACAAAAAAAGTTAAAAATAGGCTTATATATGTTTGGCTGAAGACATGAGGATGACAGAATTTTCATTTTTGTCAAGTCGGTAAGTAGTTTTAGTTTTGTTGAGTAATTTCTAAGTGTGTGAGGATATTTTATAACATTATAACTGCTGTTATAATAATGATACCTGTTGGATCATGATTCTGGAGGATAATAATATCAATGTATCATTGGGATATTATGGATACAAATGAGTATGTACACTGTAAAAAACAAACAAAAAAACAATATTTTGAATTAAGCATTGCATTTTCCTGTCATAAAATTACCAGTTGCCCCTTTTTTCTCTTTTTCTTTTTTTTTTACAGTAAACTTGGGATGTCTGTTAACATGTTTACTTTGATACAGAGGAGTTTGTATAAAAGAAAAGCTCTTTTGCTTTAGTGGAGAATATCTGAAATGTGCAGATTTCATTAGAGGTTAGATAAGATTAGGTATGCCTAATGAAGTTCATGAAACATGGGCGTGGCAGGGAATGAACGAGACAAAGAAAGACCGCTGCAGGGATCCTCCTATCATCATCCAGACTGCGGTTCACAATGGTAGAGACATTTACTTAAAAATCATGTCTAAATCATGTCTAAATCATGACAGACCCAATTTCGTGCGTGTAGCCTACTGTAAAAACACGAAAGCTCATACCGATGTGCCACTCATCACTGTTTAAAACGACCTTAACCTCAACACTTTTTGAACTATATTAAAGTAGTCGTTGTTTCACACCGTGCACGAATTGAGAGTGGACACGAATCTGCAGCTCACGGTAATAATAATGACAGCATCAGGTCCGCCATGTTCCGTCACGACTACTACGGGATTAAGTTACTGTCAGTCAGGCTGGGCGTTTTCCCCGAGGACACAAGGTAAGTGCTTCTTCAAAAAACTGAGGAGAAAAAGTATAATATGGTATGGTATGGTATGGTAAAAAAGTATAGATACCCATCATGGATACGATTATTATTATGCTTTCGTTCAATAAATGAATATTAGTCCAGTCATTTTAAGAAAAAAGGTTGAACAAATTGCAACAGAACTCAACTGATTTTGTATCCTCAATATGTCCTGACTCCTGAGAACTGTTCAACAAAATTCTACAAGACATTTTCATCTGCTGAACCCAATGTTTAGATCTGTTTGGTATCTGTAGGCAAATTAGTATGTAATTCGATTATGCACCATTTGTGCTAGTAGTAGTAGCCTACAAACAATTGCAAAAAAAACTTGTAATAGATTTTTTGTTTGTCTTGATGTAAGTAATCAACTCAGTGACTTTCATGATGATATCTAATGGTTAAAATTTTATCACGTGAGAAAAAGAGTGTATATGCGTATGAATGGGATATATTTGGGTCTTTTTCTAATGGGATTCTTCTGGGCTTTTTTTTCCAGGACATATTTTTTTACTTAGGACATATTGAGGATACAAAACCAGTTGAGTTTGCGTCTGTTGCAATTTGTTGCAAGGTTGACCCCCATTTTGGCTTAAAATGACTGGACTATATGTTTTAAGGCAATGTTTGTACAATGAAGAACTCACTACATTAATATGGTCTTCTAGAAAAACCGTGGTGGTTTGGTGATGGACAAATGAGACTTTGGTGTTCAGGACTGTTTAGGCCTACTAGACCTTTTAGCCAGCGGGTAATTTCTGAAAATTGTGTAGGTCTAAAAATAAAATAACTATTGCCCATAACAATAGAAAGACAATTACTACTAATGTACTAATAACAAAAACACAACTAGAACATTGCCAAGACTTATAGTAACCTAGGTAAAAATATATACAGTTGAATTTATCATATGTAATGTCAGGCTTCTATAATAATGTTTTTAAATTACAGTATAAGAAAATTTTAAAAGGAACTTTCTAAGCATAGGCCAAATTTATGTCAATATATTGTAATGTAAAGATTATTTTTAATTATTAAAATATTGATTATGATTAGTTTTCCTTTCAGTTTAAGACATTTGACTCTTAGGTCAGTACAAAATAAGTGACAATGTGAGGCTGCAGTTGGACACTAGAGCCAGACCGATTTATTGGCAGGCCGATATTATCGGCCGATATTAGGCATTTTCCAAACTATCGGTATCGGCAGTTATAATGACCGATAAATGAATATTTCAAAAATAAAATAAAAACGTACGAAACACGCTTCAACCATGTCATGAGTGTTGGAGTTGTAAAGTTTGTCCACCAGAGGGCACTCTACACCGTCCCCGTTTGCAACACTCGTGTATAATGTGCGGCGCCACAACCTGCTGATCCAGGTTGCAGGTACATTATAAGGCAATGTAGGGACTAATTAATATTTTATTTATCAGAACTTTAATATAATTTGATGTTCCTCTGATGTAATTTGATTTGATGTTCCTCTGTTGTGTTGTGAAAGTAAAAGAAATTTTGATTAATTTGTTAACTGCATGACTATCTTGGCCAGCTTTCAGTCGCTGATCCATCGTGCAGTGTGAACACAGCAGCGACTGAAAGCTGACCAAGATAGTCATGCAGTGTGAAAAGAACAGCGACCCGACTACTTTGAAAATCGTGCAGTCTGAACTCGGCATAAACCTCACTCCTCTGATCTCAATAGGCTCTCTGAGGAAGAAGCTCTGAAGAAGCTTTCACACTACAATAGGAAGAATCGCCGACAACTCTGTCTAGCACGCTACGCGCAAACTACGTACGTTTCACAACAAACACACGCGAGATGTGACAAGGAAACAACGCGACATCACACGTGCAAGACGTTAGACTTTTTCTTTTACGACCCAGTTGTGGTACAGCTTAGATGAAACGTCAAACAGACACGGGTGCTCCTGCCAAATTTCGACAAATTTTTCTTCAATTTCTTGGGTCCAAATAGACCGAGAAGAAGCCTTTTTCTGGAACAATGCCATGCTTGTTGATATGTGATCTATAACTCCTCCCCGAATGAGAGATTTTGCTCTCTCATTGGCTGTCGGTAATCACCGATGTAGTTTTCAGTCAGAACACTTTTCACACAGCAGGATTTTGAATCGCCGACAGGTCAATATATTTAGCATGCCAAATATCTCACGGGCGTCGGCGACTCGTTGGCGATTCTCTCATCACGTCTTTGCTCATTCACACTGTGTGATTGTCACTCGTGACTCGTGTGAACGAGCACTGATTTGCCTGTGATTTCGGGCATTTGTCGGCGATTTCTCAACCTGTCGGCGAGCCAAACTCGTGGCTAAACTCGTGCAATGAGTCTCAAATGTTTTCCTCATACCATTCAGACCAAAAAGAAAGACTAAAGGACTTGTCAGAGGCACGAAGCGTTAGGTAATAGGAATATTACCAACATAATCCAATCTGAATTGAATTAATACGTAATATTGTTCAATTGGACCTAACTGTTTTATATATAGGTTATATGTGTATTTGCACGTGATATCAGGAGGCAACAGCGGTGCGTAAATCGAGTTGCTCCCCCACTTCTGTTAGTTTTACAAGGAGATATCCCTTGCGAATAGGGCTTAACACCTGAGGAAGAGGCATCGACTCTCATGATGAATGGGAAAATCGGGATGCACTGGTGAAGGTATCCTTTACTGTTTAAAGTCAGACGAGGCTTGGGTTTTCCAGGACAGAGACTTGGGTTTTGCATGCAGGAGGGAGGCGAGTGGAGCTCTGTTATGGTGGAAGGAAATTATAAAGCTTACACATTCCTCTGGTACATTTCAGCCCGTTCTCATCCCAAGGCTTCATATACTGACGCGTTTGACATTTCGTCTACATCCAACGCACATGGCACCCTTTTGGTCGCAGATATATATGGCCTCCTAGTGGTCTAACACTAACCCTACTCCAGACCTAAACCTACCCATACTCTGTGCGTGTTATATTGGCGCTAAAGGGTGCCATGCATGTTGGATTTAGACGAAATTTCAAAAGCGTTACTATATGACGCCCTAGGATGAGAACGCATTGTACATTTGTACCCCCAGGACTGATATTATAGCAGAGAAAATGGATCAAAGTCTGCTGAAACTCCCACTTCTCCATTTTGAGGAACAGACGATGTTCCCGCAGCCTTTGCCGGACCTGAAGTCAAGGAGAGCCATACCTATGAGAGGTACTGTAATGTAGGCACTGGCCACTGTGAGTTTAACACACAAGGGTGTGTATTACAAGGAGAGTATGAATGGACCTACTGGAAGATGCTCCGCAGTACAGAAAAGGGGTTAACAGGAAAGTGCAAAGGATCCTCTTCTGGTTCTGGAGAGTGGCGTGTGCATTTGGGTGTTGACGAAGGCAGAGCTCGTTCAACCAGTTCCTCAGTAGCATCAGTGAAGTGGATGTCCCTGTAATGATGTCGGTGTGGCCTTCTGTCACAGACCCATCGATTCTCTGAAGATTATTTCAATAGCAGGGTTTATTGACAGTTGGGTAGGAAGAAATACAGGAACACAGACGAATAACAGATTCAATGTAACTGCCTTGTTCGCTGGAGAGTCAATTCAAAGTCACCTTTATTTATATAGTTCTTTTTACAATACAGATTGTTTCAAAGCAGCTTTATGGTTCAGATTACACAATTTTTTTTGTCTGTTACGATAGTCACTGTGTCAGATTACACGATTTTGACTCCTAAAATCTTGTCGTGTCGTGGACGAGACACATGTCAGACTACACGTTGCTTCCTGACCAGTCATTGCATGCCATCTTTAACAGTGCGTGTGATGTCATCGAGAAGCGAAACTAGTAGCGAGTGACTTCCGGAAACAAACATAAACAAACAATGGATGAAGCGGTGAGTGTGGCTGTCCTGTGTTCAGAAAAAAGTCAAAAAAGCAAGAAAACCCGACAATGGACACGTTCCTGGATTGCTCGAAGAGGACAGTGTGGGCTGTCAATCCTCCAAAGAGAACTTGAGGTAAAATATTGTTTTCTGATATATTTTTACTTTTAGTTTTAACGTTAGCACCATCGTCTCTCTTTTGCTTCGCCATTTTGGAAAGTTGTGTACGGAAAAGCTTCTGTGCTCCTATTGGTCGACCTCATACATGTGACGGCACCGTCCTGGACGACCGTTATAAAAAAAAATAAACATGCTAGTCTTTTTGTCGTGATGTCGTGAAGCATCGCAGACCGGTTGTCGCCCACTATGACACACTATACGAGATGATACGATCGAATCTTGCGTCCCGACGCCCGTTGACGTTTACGAATCCCCACGACACCCTACGTCAAACGGATCGTGACAAAATCGGGCTAAAATCGTGTAATCTGAACCAGGCATTACAGTGATAACAGGAGAATAATGCAAAGTTTGTTTTGGCTATACAGCAGATCTACAAGAAAATAGTGTCACAGTCCTGCTTAAGTAAGTTCAGTGATGATTATATTTGTGGTAAAACATTATTAATTTAGTTCATCTATCTATACAGTTGCCCGTGATGTCCGTGATGTCATCGTCCACCTCAGTTCACTTCTCATATAATGGTGTCAATGAAGGCAGATTAATGATATTGTTGAATATTAAATGTTCCCAACTAAGCAAGCCAAAAGCAAGCAAAGGCTTGATCTCCTCTATGCCTCAAACACGACTGGGACAGTTAAACACACTCTGGAACGTGAGAGGAACGCAAGAAAGAGTATTTTAGATTGGTAGTAGTAATATATTATGAAATGGATACAGCAGTAGTAGGACTGCCTCTACGTGTTTGGACTGTAAAATGATTCGCTTATTAAATTTGCCATAAGAACATTTCTCCCAGCCGGTACTAATGTAATCTCAGATGCTTTTAAGCTAATCAGTTTATCGGTTCTCAGAGTGTCTGCCAGCTTAGATTTTATATTTATATTACGACCTCCACTTCAGGCATATAGTCTTCAAGGACGGTTTCTTTAGTCTCATCATGGGGGCAATTAGCATCACGCTGGTTCCCTTGACAAAAACACAATAGGATGTTTCCATAGGATTTTGGATTATTGCTAAAAAAAAAAAAGCTCTGTGATCAACAAACGTTTATGATACTTGCACGTTTTGTTGATCAAGATAATTATCACAGATGAACACAACTTTTATGAATTTTCCTAAATGCATTCGCCAGAAGTAAAAAGCTAAAGGTAGGCTATAAACGAACCACAGCACGGTCCCACGACTTCAACGTCACCATCACTAAGCTTCACTAATCTAAAAACGTTCTCAGAACGTTTGAGTTAGAATACTTTATAAGAGCACAATTATAAGCATAAAAAGTCTGTAAAGCGGATTAGAGCATTTAGCCACTTGTTAGCAACCACATTTTTTAAAGACACGCAACAGCTTAAAAAAAATCATGAGTGGGGTTAAATTTATGTGTATATTATGTCGTAGAATAAAACGTGATCACCACAGACCTTATTTCAGCCATTCAAAAAACCCATTGACGATGGAACCGAAAGTGCTATAATGCAATTCGCTTCCGCGTTTTGGCCTACAAAGTGATGTCATACCCTGTACCACTCTATGACATCTTCACGTATCCGACATCTCTGTCCAATCAGTGACCTGCAGTGTCACATTTTAGCATCGGCACGGCTCGCGTGAAACTCGACCGAGGTTTTCCTGTTTAAGTGAGCCGTACCGTACGATGCAGTGGAAAAGCGTCATTAGTCAGAAATGTTAATGCATAGCTAAAGACTTCAAAGAATATCACAAAACACAAATACTCACCCAACACAATATCAAATAATAGATAGATTACAAGATTAAAGGGTTAGTTCACCCAAATGAAAATGATGTCATTAATGACTCCCCCTCATGTCGTCCCCAAGCCCGTCATACCTTCAGAACACACTTTAAGATGTTTTAGATTTAGTCCGAGAGCTTTCTGTCCCTCCATTGTAAATGTATGTACGGTATACTGTCCTTGTCCAGAAAGGAAATAAAGACATCATCAAAGTAGTCATGTGACATCAGTGGGTTAGTTACAATGCTTTGAAGCATCGAAAATACATTTTGGTCCAAAAATAACAAAAACTTGCTAAACTTTTATTCAGCATTGTATTGTCTTCCGGTTCTGCTGTGGATCCCTTTAATGCCAAGTTTTTTTTTTAAAAAAGTGTGTGAATCTAACTGCACACTAATGTATAAGTTGATGTTCTGTTACTCCCAAAAGGAAAAGGTTTTTGTTATCATTATTGAAGTGGACTTCTATTTTCTCTTATTTGTTTGCAGGTTAAATGAGGAGATGCAGAAAAGACAGGAAGCTGAAAATAACCTGACTCTCTTTCGTAAGGTAAAGCGATAATGGAAATTATATCTTACAATATGCACTTCCACTGAATGCTATCTCTGAGCTTTATTATTTTAAAACAGTCATTATCATACAGTGGGTTTAAAAAGTCTACACACCTTTCACAATGTCTTTGGGCTTCGCCCGCGAGAGAAGAAAAAAGAAAATTCTGTTATCATTTACTTTTATGTGTCACTGAAGAAAGACCATCATATTGTTGTTTTGGATTGTCACAAGGGTGAGTGTAATGATGAAGAATTTTCAAAAGGGGAGATGAATTGCGATCATATAATAAATATACAATAGTGCTGCTAC